TTTCCTGCCTAAGGTGCATAATTGCCATTAGGCATCAATTCAAAAGTAGAGAAGTTCTCCTACATTCCCTCAAGATGATTCCCATGTCAAGAAACGTCTGGTTGAGTCTGTGAAAGTGTGAAGGGAGGGGAGAATCATGGGAAGATGACAGGTCTTGGAGGTCAGGAATCCATAATGTAGACCTCACCCCAGAGAGATTCTTGGCTTGGCATTTTTTCCCCTCTTGGAACAGGGAGATCTTCCTTGTTTGGGGACGGTTGAGCTTCTCCAAGCCAGCCCAGAAGGTTGAATGTCTCAGAAGGAGGTTTTTGTTGCACTTCCCCCTTAGATTGTATCACTGTGCACTGATTACTGTCCCACACCTGACAGTAATATACTGCCTCGTCCTGTGCTTGGGCTCTGGAGAGGCTTAAGGTGGCCGTATTACCAGAGTTGGTGCCAGAGAATCGGTCTGAGATCCCTGTGGGTCTCTGGTTATCATTGTATATAATCAGAACAGGAGGATCTCCAGGCTTCTGCTGGTACCAGTGGACATTCTTCCTTCCAATGTTGTTTGCTGAACAAGTGATCCTTTCATTCTGTCCCAGGGAGACAGATACGGATGCCGGCTGGGTCAGGACATACTGGCCAAAGGATCCTATGCAAAGAAACAAACAAAGAAATAAATAATGTCTTGTGCAAGAGAACATTTCCACTTGATGAAACATCTATCCAACGATCTCTCTTCTTTTACAGCACCTGAGGAGTTGACCAGCAACGAGAGAAGGAAGGAAGCCCAGAACATGATGGGAAATCTGATGCACTTTCCTCCTGAAGGCAAAAAAGTCAACTGCTTCAACACTTGTGCCTTCCCTTTTATATACGTCACACGTCTTGTGACTAACCTTCAGATGCAAAGCATTGGCTTTGAAATAGTTGGTGTAGTAGTAGAAGAGCCATGAGGATGCGGTGGTTATTGTAGGCTGACTCTGTCGACAGCCAGGAGTTCAATCCTGATTGGCTCAAGGTTGATTCAACCTTCCATCCTTCCAAGGTCGATAAAATGAGGACCCAGATTGTTAGGGGCAAGAGGCTGACTCTGTAAACTGCTTAGAGTGGGCTGTAAAACACTATGAAGCGGTATAACAAGTCTAGGCTCTATTCTACTATGTTCTGTGTTCTGTGTTCTGTGTTCTGTGTTCTGTGTTCTGTGTTCTGTGTTCTGTGTTCTGTGTTCTACGTTCTATGTTCTATTCTGTACCAGTGGTGACACAATGATTAGAATGCAGTATTGCAGACTAATTCTGCCCCACTGCCAGGAGTTCGATCCTGACTGGCTCAAGGTTGACTCAGCCTTCCATCCTTCAGAGATCGGTAAAACAAAGACCCAGATTGTTGGGGACAATAGGTTGACTCTGTAAACTGCTTAGAGAGGGCTGTAAAGCACTGTGAAGTGGTGTATAAGTCTAAGTGCCACTGCTATTAAGAATGGTTAGAATACAATATTGCAGACTAACTCTGCCCACTGCCAAGAGTTCGATCCAAAGCACACATGGACGCTGAATGGCCCCTTCCTGGCTGGGGAATAAATAGAGGGAAAGGTGAGTGGTTGCCGTAGGAGACAACAGTTCATATTTCTGGAGATTTTGCTCATTGCATTTCATGCCACAAAGACTGCTTGCCAGAACTTAATTTGCAGCCTTTCGGCTGGGAGCTCACGGTTTTGCAATTATCACAAGGAACTGATAAGGTCTGTTGCTGCAGTTAATTCCTTGCAGGACTCTTGCTTGGACTTTTCGGTGGGTGAATGCCATTCAGACAATGACAATGCCATTCAGACAATAATTCACAAGAGGTAAATAAAGAGGGGGTGTGTGTGTTTGTGACCAGGAGTCTGTTTCTTGTTTCTGCTAAGGCTGGCTGTCAGAACAGTTAGTTAATGAGTAGTGCCTCCTTTTCACACTAAGAGGTTTTGTCTCACTTCCTCCTCTGCCTGTTTCACTGTGGCCAGTGATAGATGCCATCCCACCGTAAGAGACAATGGTAGATTGCCTCATCCTCAGCCTGGGCAAGGAATTTGTCTTTGGTGCATACGCTCTCAGTGTACATAAAAGAAAAGATACGTTCATCAAGAATCATAAAGTACAACACTTAATGATAGTCATAGGGTACAAATAAGCAATCAAACCATATTAGGAATATGAGGAGGAATATGAGGAGGAGGAGGAGAAGAAGGAGGAGGAGGAGGAATAGAACAGAATTTTATTGGCCAAGTGTGATTGGACACACAAGGAATTTGTCTTGGTGCATATGCTCTCAGTGTACATAAAAGAAAAGATATGTTCATCAAGAATCATAAGGTGCAACACTTAATGATAGTCATAGGGTACAAATAAGCAATCAAATCATATTAGGAATATGAGAAGGAATATGAGGAGAAGAAGGAGCAGCAGGAGAAGGAGGAGATGGTAAAGGAAGAGAAGGAGGAGGAGGAGGAGGAGGAGGAGGAAGAGAGAAAGAGAAATAATAACTGAGGTGGAGGAAGAAGAAGAAAAAGAAGAGGAGGAGGAGGAGGACCTAAGAACTAATGTATCATTTTGGCATTCATTATATTTATTCATAGCTCTTTTGGTTTCCTCTGGGTTGAAGACTTCCAAAAGAAGCAGGTGTTAGAACTTCACAGACTGTTGAATAGATATGGTTGACCAGGATTCCTTATTTAAGACCCAGGGTTGCAACGGCACTGCATCTCATTAGTTTGAGAGGTGTGCCCTCTGGTGTCTACATTCATCATGGCTATTACTTAATCTGCACCCCAGGCCAATATTGATCAACGCCAGGCGTCCTTCTACTAAGTTGATTCAGCTCAAGGTAACCTAGCAGGTTGCCTTTGATCTCCTCCAGCATGTTTCAGGAGTGGTGACAGATGTTTAGTTGGGTGCATTTCTAGGAAGGTGGCACCCTCTGCGGTCAAGTCCTGTAACCATAACTGGGTGACACTTTCTCCCATACAAAATATATCTCAGAGAAAGGTGACCCCAGCCCCAAATTTTTGCAGGGTTCCTTCTTTCCTCCTCAGAGCAAAGCAGGTTCTTTTAATGTCCTTCGATCAGAGAAGGACCAACGCAACCTTTGAGCAACTCTCTGCTATTCAAAAGAAGAAGAAGGTTTTTGTCTCAGTTCCCCATTAGATTGTCTCACTGTGGAACACTCCACCACTGCTATACCACATGTAACAGTAATAATCAGCCTCGTCTTCAGCCTGAAGGTTTGTGATGGTTAAGTAGCCGTTGTTGCCTGACCGGGTTCCCGTGAATCGGTCTGGGATCCCTTCTCCTCTGCTGCAGCCATCACAGTGCACAAAGCGAGGGGCTTCCCCAGATCTCTGTTGAAGCCAGAAAATGGTGTTTGGGTTGCTACTAATGGCACAGGAGATTTTAATTGTCGCTCCTGGAGATCCAGTCTGGGAGACCGACTGAGTCAAGGTGGGCTGTGAAGTGACACCTTTACAAAGAGGGGGGAAAGGAGGAAAAAAATGAAGATTTGTTACATTATCTGGGCCTCCAAAAATCCCAGAACTATCCTTTGGATGGACCATATAGGATTTTATATAGTGGAAATTAGAGAGTTTTTATTACACAGTTTAAGAAGAGGTTCTCCACCTACTTACATGAGAAATAACTGAGGAGTGAAAAGAAAACCAGTGTCCAGGCCATGGTGCTTTCCTTCAAAAGATCTCCCTTCCTAAAACCAAGGAATATCTACCTGGGATCCTTCTGCCTTCTTTCTTAAATCTTTCTAGAAGAGAAGAAAGATCCATGCAAATATAGACGCACTGATTGGCTTTCTTTGAATTGCTTTTGACCAACGAGCAGAGGAAACATTTGCATGAAGGGAAGGGTTAAGGAGATGCCTTTATTTAGGTTTTAAGTCATAACGTAGGAAAATTGGAGAAAGGCATTCACAAAAGATGAACGCAGGATGGGGATTTGAGGAGGACTAGTTTTACCAGAAGACAAATTGATGCAATTCCAGACAAGAAGGAGAAACTGTATAAAGGAATACTTTGCAACTCTACAGGTAGTTACGGTAGACTGCAATGACATCGGAATCTCCCTCAAAAGTATATCTGGGCATAAAAAACTCTCCAGAGTTGACCCAAATCCTTCTACGCAGAATACCTCGGATGTCACAAACTGATTATAAAATCTGTTTTTTTTTTCCTTTCTTCATATCTGCATGAGGTATTTTGCAGCTGGTAAAATTGCTCAGTCTGTTGCACAGAGGACAGTTTCAGGAGTGTTTGGCTGGGTGCATTTCTAGGACGGTGGCACCCTCTGCTGTCAAGTCCTGTACCCATAACTGGGTGACACTTTCTTCTATTCCAAATAAGTTTCAGAGCAAGGTGATATGGGAAACATCTTGAGATGTTTCCATCAGATGTGAATTGCTATGGATTATAGAGTCAGAGGGGAGGCTACCTCCAACCTTTGTCGTTGTTTCATATGGTGCTTTACCTGATTTCCACAGTGCCTTGTGAGAAGTCAGTTTGGAGCATTCTCTCTGGGGTCATTGTGGAGGCAGGGAAGAGGAGAGGGACGGGAGGGCTGAATCAGGAGAACCTATCACCGATGTGCATGAGGAGAATTTATCATAGAACTTTTTGATTAAAAAAATCTATTTCTCCACTTCTTTTGGTTTGTTAGTAGGCTAAACACAATTTTCAACTGCAAAATGTCAACGTAGGGAATGAACGCATGGCTTACTACACAAGTAGGAACCATAATGTATGTCCTTCTATATTATACTCATCATTTCATTCTTGCGCCCAGAAGAATGAAGATGTTTTTCTTGTGTTTCTATATTTTAGTTGCCTTCTTCTGCAAGATGGATCTCTCTTTTTATCTCTGCTTGGCAGCAACAGCTTGCAGTGCACTTTCATTCCATCATAGAAAAGCCAACGCAACCTTTGAGCAACTCCATGTTCTGTGAAGGAAGAAGGTTTTTGTCTCAGTTCCCCATTAGATTGTATCACTGTGGAACACGTTTCCACTGCTATACCACATGTGACAGTAATAATCAGCCTCGTCTTCAGTCTGAAGGTTGGTGACGGTTAAGTAGCCGTTGTTGCCTGACCGGGTTGCCGTGAATCGGTCTGGGATCCCTTCTCCTCTGCTGCTGCAGGTATCACAGTGCACAAAGCGAGGGGCTTCCCCAGATCTCTGTTGAATCCAGACAATGTAGTTTGGAGAGCTGCTGATGGCACAGGATATTTTAATTGTCCCTCCTAGAGATCCAGACTGGGAGGCTGGCTGAGTCAAGGTGGGCTGTGACATGATGCCTTTACGAAGTGAGGAAAACAGAGGAAACGATAAAGAATTGTTATATTATCTGGGCCTCCAAAAATCCCAGAACCATCCTTTGGATGGACCATATAGGATTTTATATTGTGGAAATTAGAGAGTTTTTATTACACAGTTTAAGAAGAGGTTCTCTACCTACTTACATGAGAAATAACTGAGGAATGAAAAGAAAACCAGTGTCCAGGCCATGGTGCTTTCCTTCAAAAGGTCTCCCTTCCTAAAACCAAGGAATATCTACTTGGGATCCTTCTGCCTTCTTTCTTAAGTCTTTCTAGAAGTGAAGAAAGATCCATGCAAATATAGACGCACTGATTGGCTTTCTTTGAATTGATTTTGACCAATGAGCAGAGGAGACATTTGCATGAAGGGAAGGGTTAAGGAGATGCCTTTATTTAGGTTTTAAGTCATAACTAGGAAAATTAGGAGAAAGGCATTCACAAAAGATGAACGCAGGATGGGGATTTGAGGAGGACTAGTTTTACCAGACGACAAACTGATGCAATTCCAGACAAGAAGGAGAAACTGTATAAAGGAATACTTTGCAACTCTAGAGGAAGTTAGACTGCAATGACGTGGGAATCTCCCTCAAAAGTGTATCTGGACATAAAAAACTCTCCAGAATTGTCCCAAATCCTTCTCCACAGAATACCTCGGATGTCACAAACTGATTATAAAATCTGTTTTTTTCCCCTTTCTTGACATCTGCATGAGGTATTTTGCAGCTGGTAAAATTGCTCAGTCTGTTGCACAGAGGACAGTTTCAGGAGTGTTTGGCTGGGTGCATTTCTAGGAAGGTGGCACCCTCTGCTGTCAAGTCCTGTAACCATAACTGGGTGACACTTTCTTCTATTCCAAATAAGTTTCAGAGCAAGGTGCCCTAGCCTCAAATGTCTTCACGGTTCCTTCACTTTCTCTCAGAGCAACGCCGGTTACTTTTTTTTTTTTTTTTAAGTTGATTTATATGCCGCCCTTCTCCGGAGACTCAGGGTGGCTTACAATGTGTTAAGCAATAGCCTTCATACTTTTGTATATTTATACAAAGTCAGCTTATTGCCCCCACAAACTGGGTCCTCAATTTACCTACCTTAGAAAGGATGGAAGGCTGAGTCAACCTTGAGCCTGGCAAGATTCGAACTTACTAATTGCAGACAGCTGGAGTTAAATTACAATGCATTAGTCTGCTGAGCTATCCAGGCTCCTCTATTGTCCCTTCACACTTGGTTGATTCAAATCGTCTTGATGCTGAGGGAAGATTATGCAATCATGCATGGTAGAAAAGTAGGGAAGGACAGCACATAACTTTCCTGTGACTTTGGTGATGATCCATGATGGGAACTCTCTTGCCTTGGAATTGGAATAAGGGAGTTCAGAGTCATTGCCTGGGGTGATTGACACAATGCTAAGGAGACGTCTTTAAGAAAACAGAGAGTTGAAGTATGGGTGGTCATGCATGCAAGATCTAACCTTATGGGAGGTTTTTGATGAAGCGTCTCATTGACTTTGCTCACTGTGTCTCCCTGCAAAACAATAATAGTCCCCTTCATCCTTTCCCTGAACACTGCTGATGGTTAAGAAAGCAGTTTTCTTGGGGGTGTTTGTAGAGGCAGAGAAATGACCAGAAGATCCAGGGCCAAATTTTGTCTCTCGGGAGGTTGTATTATAATTCAGGAGAAACCTGGGTCTTTCTCCTCCCTTTTGCTGGTACCAGTTGAAGCCACTGAAATGATATCCACTGCTAACATTGCAGGAGAGTTTTACTGGTTCTCCAAGAGATGCCGAGAGGGCCGATTCCTGAGTCAAGGTGAATTGACACATTGCAGCTGAAAGTAAAAAAATCAATATTAAAAATCCTTCAAAGATGGAAACTGAAGCAAAGAAAATTGCACAGAGTGATAAAACAGCCAAGGTGTTTGATTTCACCTGGAGAATAAGAGAAGAGGAGAAGCAGAAGAGTCCAGACCATGATGGAGAAAATGAAGAGGAGCAAAGTCCAACTTAGTCCTAATCCAAAGCCAAGGAGTTTAGTGGCTCTCACTTCCTGATTCTCCCTTAAGCTCTGTACTGAAAGTGCATGCAAATATCTACCTGCCTCATTGGCCAGAAGGAGTGAAGAAAACAGTATTTAATGAAACTCCAAGAGATCAACCTTCTACCCAAAATACGCATATAAGCTCTGTGAATAAATCCGTAAGTAAAAGAAGTTGAGTGTGCCAACCACTCAATGTTCTTTTCTTGACTTTGGAATGTTCTTCAAACTCACATGTATGAAAAGAGTCAGGACAAATTCTACTAGATTGCTCCGGACAGAAAATTTCCCCTGTGGCAAAAAGGCAACTAACATTGAGTTTTCATTTTAAGAAAGGTCACACTCCCTGCTTTTTATTTACTTCTCTGCATCCCGTGGCATTTTGAAACAGGACTTGGTGTTCTGGAACCCAACGGGAACGTTCTCTTATCTTTGTGTCCTTACATTTCCAATTTCATTTACTCCAATGGTACCCAGAAGACCAGAGCTGGTCTGTCCCATTCAACATCATCAATATCCTCTGTTTCCTATTTTTGTGTGTGTAATAGCATCACTAACATAATTCCTCATTGGCAGAATCATAGATCCTCCAATGCTTCCATGAGGAAATCGTGAAACAAGAAAATGTAAGGAAAAGTCAACAATCCTTCTGGGCACAGTGGTACTAGAAATATCTTGAGGTATTTCCACCAGATGTGAATTTCTGTGAGTAATAGAGTTCATGGACGTGCTACCTCAAACCTTTGGCCTCATTTCATGGGGTGCTTTACCTGATTTCCAAGTTGCCTTGGGAGAAATTAATTTCGACCCTTTGGGTGTTTGTGGATGCAGTCAAGAAGAAATAGACAGTGTGGAAGGGAAGGGCAGAGTCGGGAGAAACCTACCTCATATCTGCAAGAGGAAAATTCAACTTGGAACATCTAAATTAAAATGTCTTATTTCTGCCACTTGGGTATTTCTACCTGAAAAATGTCAAAATGGGGAATGAAATCAATGGATTACTAAACAAGCGAGTACTATAATGTATGTGAGTATATATTAAAATTTCTCTACACTAGTTGTTTTAATCTTGTGACTAAAAGAGCGAAGGATTTTTTCTTGTGTTTGTGCATTATAGTTGGATTCTTCTTCTGCAAGATGGATCTCTGGTTTACTCTCTGCCTGGAATAGATCACACGCAGTGCCTTTTCATTCGATCAGAGAAGGACCAACCCAACCTTTGAGCAACTCTCTGCTATTCAAAAGAAGAAGAAGGTTTTTGTCTCAGTTCCCCATTAGATTGTCTCACTGTGGAACCCTCCACCACTGCTATACCACCTGTAACAGTAATAATCAGCCTCGTCTTCAGCCTGAAGGTTGGTGATGGTTAAGTAGCCGTTGTAGCCTGATCGGGTTGCCGTGAATCGGTCTGGGATCCCTTCTCCTCTCCTGCCGCCATTACATTGCACAAAGCGAGGGGCTTCCCCAGATCTCTGCTGAAGCCAGAAAATGGTGTCTGGATCGCTACTAGTGGCACAGGAGAGTTTAATTGTCCCTCCTAGAGATCCAGACTGGGAGGCAGGCTGAGTCAAGGTGGGCTGTGACAGGATGCCTTTACAAAGTGAGGAAAACAGAGGAAACAATAAAGAATTGTTATATTATCTGGGCCTCCAAAAATCCCAGAACCATCCTTTGGATGGACCATATAGGATTTTATATTGTGGAAATTAGAGAGTTTTCATTACACAGTTTAAGAAGAGGTTCTCCACCTACTTACATGAGAAGTAACTGAGGAGTGAAAAGAAAACCAGTGTCCAGGCCATGGTGCTTTCCTTCAAAAGGTCTCCCTTCCTAAAACCAAGGACTATCTACTTGGGATCCTTCTGCCTTCTTACTTAAGTCTTTCTAGAAGTGAAGAAAGATCCATGCAAATATAGACGCACTGATTGGCTTTCTTTGAATTGCTTTTGACCAACGAGCAGAGGAGATATTTGCATAAAGGGACGGGTTAAGAAGAAGTCTTTATTTAGGTTTTAAGTCATAATGTAGGAAATTTAGGAGAAAGGAATTCACAAAGAATGAAGTCAGGTTTGGGCAAGGCCTGGTCTACCAAAAGACAAACTGAGGTGTCTACCAGGTGGCACCCTCTGCGGTCAAGTCCTGTAACCATAACTGGGTGACACTTTCTCCCATACAAAATATATCTCAGAGGAAGGTGATCCCAGCCTCAAACTTTAGAGCCTTGATAGTACAGTGGTTTAGTGCACCCTGTCACCCTGCTGGTTCGAATCTCTCCAAGGCTCAAGGTTGACTCAGCCTTCCATCCTTTCTAAGGTAGGTGAAATGAGGACCCAGTTTGTGGGGGCAATAAGCTGACTTTGTATAAAATATACAAAAGAATGAAGGCTATTGCTTAACGCATTGTAAGCCGCCCTGAGTCTCCGGAGAAGGGCGGCATATAAATCAAATTAAAAAAAAAAAAACTTTTGCAGGGTTCCTTCCTTCCTCCTCAGAGCAAAGCAGATTCTTTTAATGTCCTTCATCCTTGGTTGAGTTGGGTCACCTGGTTGTCCAGAGAAGCTTATGCAATCAATAAAGCCAGGGAGAGATGTTTTCTGTTCAGAAAGATATTCTCAATAACAGGATTTAAATTATATTTAGCATAAATTGGCCACAGACAAAGTTTCCAAAATTGTGTTGTTACACCAAATTCAGCATAATATCCCATTTCCCCCCCAACTTTTGGAATTCCTGTGACATATGGGTCTTGATCGGGCTTAACAAAAAAGTCACAAAAGTCACAAAAACAAAGTCACAAAAACAAACATTTGGTTACTTTTCTTTTGTCCAATTCAACATCACCATTTTCCTCTGTTTTGACGACTACTGTTTAATAACATCGTATACCTAATTCCTCATTGGCAGAAAGATAGATCTTTCTATGCTTCCATGAACGAAAATTAAAGCATGAAATTAGAAGGAAAGGTTAATGACCCTTCTGATCACAGTGATATGGGAAACATCTTGAGATGATTCCACCAGAAGTGAATTGCTACGGATTATAGAATTTGAGGGTGGGCTACCTCCAACTTTTGTTGTTATTTTATTTGGGACTTTACCTGATTTCCACAGTGCCTTGTGAGAAGTCAGTTTGGAGCATTCTCTCTGGGGTCATTGTGGAGGCAGGGAAGAGGAGAGGAACGGAAGGGCTGAATCAGGAGAACCTATCACCGATGTGCATGAGGAGAATTTATCGTAGAACTTTTTGATTAAAAAAAAATCTATTTCTCCACTTTTTTTAGTTTGTTTGTCGGCTAAACACAATTTTCAACTGCAAAATGTCAACGTAGGGAATGAACGCATGGCTTACTACACAAGTGTCCTTGTATATTAATGTATGTCCTTGTATATTATACTCATCATTTCATTTTTGCGTCCAGAAGAGTGAAGATGTTTTTCTTGTGTTTGTATATTTTAGTTGCCTTCTTCTGCAAGATGGATCTCTCTTTTTATCTCTGCTTGGCAGCAACAGCTTGCAGTGCACTTTCATCACATCATAGAAAAGCCAACACAACCTTTGAGCAGCTCTTTGCTCTGCGAAGGAAGAAGGTTTTTGTCTCAGTTCCCCATTAGATTGTCTCACTGTGGAACACGTTTCCACTGCTATACCACATGTTACAATAATAATCAGCCTCATCTTCAGCCTGAAGGTTGGTGATGGTTAAGTAGCCGTTGTTGCCTGACCGGGTTGCCGTGAATCGGTCTGGGATCCCTTCTCCTCTGCTGCCGCTATCATAGTGCACAAAGCGAGGAGCTTCCCCAGATCTCTGTTGAATCCAGCCAACGTAGTATGGATTGCTGCTAATGGCACAGGAAAGTTTAATTGTCCCTCCTGGAGATCCAGACTGAGAGGCTGGCTGAGTCAAGGTGGGCTGTGAAGTGGCGCCTTTACAAAATGGGGAAAAAAGTGGAAATAATAAAGATCTGTAATATTATCTGGGCCTCCAAAAATCCCAGAACCATCCTTTGGATGGACCATATAGGATTTTATATAGTGGAAATTAGAGAGTTTTTATTACACAGTTTAAGAAGAGGTTCTCCACCTACTTACATGAGAAGTAACTGAGGAGTGAAAAGAAAACCAGTGTCCAGGCCATGGTGCTTTCCTTCAAAAGGTCTCCCTTCCTAAAACCAAGGAATATCTACTTGGGATCCTTCCGCCTTCTTTCTTAAGTCTTTCTAGAAGTGAAGAAAGATCCATGCAAATATAGACGCACTGATTGGCTTTCTTTGAATTGATTTTGACCAATGAGCAGAGGAGACATTTGCATGAAGGGAAGGGTTAAGGGGAGGCCTTTATTTAGGTTTTAAGTCATAACGTAGGAAAATTAGGAGAAAGGCATTCACAAAAGATGAACGCAGGATGGGGATTTGAGGAGGACTAGTTTTACCAGAAGACAAATTGATGCAATTCCAGACAAGAAGGAGAAACTGTATAAAGGAATACTTTGCAACTCTACAGGTAGTTATGGTAGACTGCAATGACATGGGAATCTCCCTCAAAAGAGTATCTGGACATAAAAAACTCTCCAGAATTGTCCCAAATCCTTCTCCACAGAATACCTTGGATGTCACAAACTGATTATAAAATCTGTTTTTTTTTCCTTTCTTGACATCTGCATGAGGTATTTTGCAGCTGGTAAAATTGGGAAGATTCCTTCATTTTACTTACTTAATCTGCACCCCAGGCCAATATTGATCAATGCCAGGCGTCCTTCTGCTAATTTGATTCAGCTCAAGGTAACCTGGCAGGTTACCTTTGATCTCCTCCAGCATGTCCCCTTGTGAAGTTCCTAGATAAACAAGGGCCTCTAAATTGAGAGGATGAAGTCCAATGATTCAGTCCACGGAGTATCCAAAGCAAGAAGCTCTTCAAGAATTAATTACAGATCCCGAATGACATTGTCAACCTCTCAACCCTTTTCAATCTGGACCTATCTGCTCTGCCATTCCAGACAACCAAAAGAAAACAGCTTTAAACCCACCTAAAGGCGTTTTGTCACTGCAGATCCATGGTTATTAATTCTACATGGGAAAAACATGGGAATCTCCCTCAAAAAAAAAAAAAAAAGAGTTTCTGTACATAAAGGAGACTCCAGAGTTGAGAAGCATCCTCTTCTATGAAACACCTCTGATGTCACCAGCTGTATTTTGACTTTCCTTTCTTGACCTTTGCATGAAGCATTTGGCAGCTGGTGCAATTTCTCAGTCTGTTGCGCAGAGGAGAGTTTCAGGAGTGGTGACAGATGTTTAGCTGGGTGCATTTCTAGGAAGGTGGCACCCTCTGCGGTCAAGTCCTGTAACCATAACTGGGTGACACTTTCTCCCATACAAAATATATCTCAGAGAAAGGTGATCCCAGCCCCAAATTTTTGCAGGGTTCCTTCTTTCCTCCTCAGAACAAAGCAGGTTCTTTTAATGTCCTTCATCCATGGTTGAGTTGGGTCATCTGGTTGTCCAGAGAAGATTATGCAATCAGTAAAGTCCAGAGAGAGATGTTTTCTGTTCAGAAAGAAATTCTCAATAACAGCATTTAAATTATATTTAGCATAAATTGGCCACAGACAAAGTTTCCAAGATTGTGTTATTACACCAAATTCAGCATAATATCCCCATTTCCCCCCAACTTTTGGAATTCCTGTGACATATGAGTCTTGATCGGGCTTAACAAAAAAGTCACAAAAGTCACAAAAACAAACATTTGGTTACTTTTCTTTTGTCCAATTCAACATCACCATTTTCCTCTGTTTTGACGACTACTGTTTAATAACATCGCATACCTAATTCCTCATTGGCAGAAAGATAGATCTTTCAATGCTTCCATAAACAAAAATTAAAGCAAGAAAATAGAAGGAAAGGTTAATGACCCTTCTGATCACAGTAATATGGGAAACATCTTGAGATGTTTCCATCAGAAGTGAATTGCTACGGATTATAGAGTCTGAGGGTGGGCTACCTCCAACCTTTTTCGTTGTTTCATATGGTGCTTTACCTGATTTCCACAGTGCCTTGTGAGAAGTCAGTTTGGAGCGTTCTCTCTGGGGTCATTGTGGAGGCAGGGAAGAGGAGAGGAACGGGAGGGCTGAATCAGGAGAACCTATCACCGATGTGCATGAGGAGAATTTATCGTAGAACTTTTTGATTAAAAAAAAAATCTATTTCTCCACTTCTTTTGGTTTGTTTGTCAGCTAAACACAATTTTCAACTGCAAAATGTCAACGTAGGGAATGAACGCCTGGCTTACTACACAAGTGGGAACTATAATGTATGTCCTTGTATATTATACTCATCATTTCATTCTTGCGCCCAGAAGAATGAAGATGTTTTTCTTGTGTTTCTATATTTTAGTTGCCTTCTTCTGCAAGATGGATCTCTCTTTTTATCTCTGCTTGGCAGCAACAGCTTACAGTGCACTTTCATTACATCATAGAAAAGCAACACAACCTTTGAGCAGGTCTTTGCTCTGCGAAGGAAGAAGGTTTTTGTCTCAGTTCCCCATTAGATTGTATCACTGTGGAACACGTTTCCACTGCTATACCACATGTTACAATAATAATCAGCCTCATCTTCAGCCTGAAGGTTGGTGATGGTTAAGTAGCCGTTGTTGCCTGACCGGGTTGCCGTGAATCGGTCTGGGATCCCTTCTCCTCTGCTGCCGCTATCATAGTGCACAAAGCGAGGAGCTTCCCCAGATCTCTGTTGAATCCAGCCAACGTAGTATGGATTGCTGCTAATGGCACAGGAAAGTTTAATTGTCCCTCCTGGAGATCCAGACTGAGAGGCTGGCTGAGTCAAGGTGGGCTGTGAAGTGGCGCCTTTACAAAATGGGGAAAAAAGTGGAAATAATAAAGATCTGTAATATTATCTGGGCCTCCAAAAATCCCAGAACCATCCTTTGGATGGACCATATAGGATTTTATATAGTGGAAATTAGAGAGTTTTTATTACACAGTTTAAGAAGAGGTTCTCCACCTACTTACATGAGAAGTAACTGAGGAGTGAAAAGAAAACCAGTGTCCAGGCCATGGTGCTTTCCTTCAAAAGGTCTCCCTTCCTAAAACCAAGGAATATCTACTTGGGATCCTTCCGCCTTCTTTCTTAAGTCTTTCTAGAAGTGAAGAAAGATCCATGCAAATATAGACGCACTGATTGGCTTTCTTTGAATTGATTTTGACCAATGAGCAGAGGAGACATTTGCATGAAGGGAAGGGTTAAGGGGAGGCCTTTATTTAGGTTTTAAGTCATAACGTAGGAAAATTAGGAGAAAGGCATTCACAAAAGATGAACGCAGGATGGGGATTTGAGGAGGACTAGTTTTACCAGAAGACAAATTGATGCAATTCCAGACAAGAAGGAGAAACTGTATAAAGGAATACTTTGCAACTCTAGAGGAAGTTAGACTGCAATGACGTGGGAATCTCCCTCAAAAGAGTATCTGGACATAAAAAACTCTCCAGCATTGTCCCAAATCCTTCTCCACAGAATACCTCGGATGTCACAAACTGATTATAAAATCTGTTTTTTTTTTCCTTTCTTGACATCTGCATGAGGTATTTTGCAGCTGGTAAAATTGGGAAGATTCCTTCATTTTACTTACTTAATCTGCACCCCAGGCCAATATTGATCAATGCCAGGCGTCCTTCTGCTAATTTGATTCAGCTCAAGGTAACCTGGCAGGTTACCTTTGATCTCCTCCAGCATGTCCCCTTGTGAAGTTCCTAGATAAACAAGGGCCTCTAAATTGAGAGGATGAAGTCCAATGATTCAGTCCACGGAGTATCCAAAGCAAGAAGCTCTTCAAGAATTAATTACAGATCCCGAATGACATTGTCAACCTCTCAACCCTTTTCAATCTGGACCTATCTGCTCTGCCATTCCAGACAACCAAAAGAAAACAGCTTTAAACCCACCTAAAGGCGTTTTGTCACTGCAGATCCATGGTTATTAATTCTACATGGGAAAAACATGGGAATCTCCCTCAAAAAAAAAAAAAAAAGAGTTTCTGTACATAAAGGAGACTCCAGAGTTGAGAAGCATCCTCTTCTATGAAACACCTCTGATGTCACCAGCTGTATTTTGACTTTCCTTTCTTGACCTTTGCATGAAGCATTTGGCAGCTGGTGCAATTTCTCAGTCTGTTGCGCAGAGGAGAGTTTCAGGAGTGGTGACAGATGTTTAGCTGGGTGCATTTCTAGGAAGGTGGCACCCTCTGCGGTCAAGTCCTGTAACCATAACTGGGTGACACTTTCTCCCATACAAAATATATCTCAGAGAAAGGTGATCCCAGCCCCAAATTTTTGCAGGGTTCCTTCTTTCCTCCTCAGAACAAAGCAGGTTCTTTTAATGTCCTTCATCCATGGTTGAGTTGGGTCATCTGGTTGTCCAGAGAAGATTATGCAATCAGTAAAGTCCAGAGAGAGATGTTTTCTGTTCAGAAAGAAATTCTCAATAACAGCATTTAAATTATATTTAGCATAAATTGGCCACAGACAAAGTTTCCAAGATTGTGTTATTACACCAAATTCAGCATAATATCCCCATTTCCCCCCAACTTTTGGAATTCCTGTGACATATGAGTCTTGATCAGGCTTAACAAAAAAGTCACAAAAGTCACAAAAACAAACATTTGGTTACTTTTCTTTTGTCCAATTCAACATCACCATTTTCCTCTGTTTTGACGACTACTGTTTAATAACATCGCATACCTAATTCCTCATTGGCAGAAAGATAGATCTTTCAATGCTTCCATAAACAAAAATTAAAGCAAGAAAATAGAAGGAAAGGTTAATGACCCTTCTGATCACAGTAATATGGGAAACATCTTGAGATGTTTCCATCAGAAGTGAATTGCTACGGATTATAGAGTCTGAGGGTGGGCTACCTCCAACCTTTTTCGTTGTTTCATATGGTGCTTTACCTGATTTCCACAGTGCCTTGTGAGAAGTCAGTTTGGAGCGTTCTCTCTGGGGTCATTGTGGAGGCAGGGAAGAGGAGAGGAACGGGAGGGCTGAATCAGGAGAACCTATCACCGATGTGCATGAGGAGAATTTATCGTAGAACTTTTTGATTAAAAAAAAAATCTATTTCTCCACTTCTTTTGGTTTGTTTGTCAGCTAAACACAATTTTCAACTGCAAAATGTCAACGTAGGGAATGAACGCCTGGCTTACTACACAAGTGGGAACTATAATGTATGTCCTTGTATATTAT